CTGAATTGAGCAATCGGCCGATAGAGGAGATGTCACTTTCTGTGACCAGAGTAGTGCTATTTCTGTTTTCTGCGAGAATCAGAAGAGATATTGGGACTTTCGGTTTCTGAGCTTGAAGGTAAACCCTATGGGGTAGCATGGGTTGTGATCTTTCACCCAAGTATCTGGGCAATATGTCTGCCGCAAGGTAATATTATAGTACGAGAGGGTCATCAGTGATGACTGAGATGGACAAGGACAAGGATATACCCTATTTGAGGATAGTAGGGCATATGTTAGCAAAATAAAGAGGAGTATATTGGGGCGGTGGCCCTCATTGTCTATGATGGATATCGAGTGTGGGAGTAAGGTTTCTGCTCTCTTAATAATTCTCATGATGATACGTTGGTTGGGGAGGTCGAAGATGAGGAGTGTGATAGTTCATTAAATTTCAGACTAAGAGTTATGACTACTACGTGACAGTTGAGATGTCTGGTAGTGTGTCAGTACGAGATTTGAATGACGTTGGGAGACTGGTCGAGGAATCAGAAACGAGGTGCGTAATAGTGCATTATTTTCCAGAGTGAGAGTCAGGACTGTGTCGGTACAGTCGGAGTATCCGGCGGTGTGTCGGTCTGAGGCATTCAACATGACTAGGGCCAGTCACGTTGAGAAGTTTTCGAGGATTTTATCTAAAATTCAGGATGTTTGGAGTTGCTTTGTCCCTATCGGGAAGATTATCGGGTGTTCTGTGGTATTTTCCAAGAGTAGGTGTGATGTACCTGGTGAAACAGTCTGTAGAATGGATGGCTGGTGTGCCAAATGGTGATGGTTCGAGCCCTGAGTGGGGGAAGAATCAGGTATTTTATTGAGGATATCAGAGATTTGTTCAACAACGGTTAGAGGACTGGATATGGTGACCTACGATACGGTTACGTGAGACCAGGATTATTGGTGGTCAAGGAGAGGTGCAAAGCGAGACAGTGCATGATTGTACGTGTTCAGAAAGGGATGAGTGTCCCCACGACAGGTGGCCATTGGTCGGAAACCTTGTGATGGTTAGGAATTCTTCAAGGTTGTAATGGTAAGTTCAAGGTGATTGGCTCGTAAGGATAGTTTCAGCGGTTGAGAATTTCTGGTTCAATGTATGGGTTGTTATATGCACTTTGGGAAGGATAGAAGTTGATTGGGTAACCAACTTCAGGGTCGGTATGTGTATTCTTGCATGGGTTTTGAGCAATAAAGGAAAGAGTTTCGGATGGTCGTTAATGTGTTCTGAGTCATTGACGATTCCTCCGTGTCCCAATCAAGAATCGGGGTACTCCGAAATTGCGAGTTGTGTGAGAGGAGGATCAGTTGTGAGATTCTGAAGGGATGCGTGTCTATATCTGAGTATGACGTTGTAGTTAAGAGATCAGTGACTGAGGCAAGACATCGTGAGGTCCTGTGATGGTGTACCGAAGTATCCGAGTATAATGCCCTGAATTTCGGATTATTTTGAGACTTGGGTTATGAGTTAGCAAGTGGTGCATCGCGTGTCTACGGTTCCAGTGGGAGCCCTTCGGCTAATTGACATCAAGCGAGATTATTTAAGAATCTGGATTGCAGCGAGGAAAAGTGTTTTGTTATGACAGTTGTCATCAGAAAATAGTGATGCATAATTTGGGTAAGTGTGTGCATCTATCCATGTTGGGCCGCGAATCGTGAGTTAGTGAACGTAGTCAGGTAATGACCCGAGGATGAGATTGTGGGACGATAAGAGAGAGGGTGTTGTGATACTGCGGGGAGCCATAGTACTCACTAGTTAGTGAAAGGGTGTTGTGATACTGCGGGGAGCCGTAGTACTCACTAGTCAGTGAGAGGGTGTGGTGATACTGCGGGGAGCCGTAGTACTCACCAGTCAGCGAGAGGGTGCGGTGATGCTGCGGGGAGCCGTAGTATTCACCAAGCAGCAGGCGAGAAGCGTTGCGAATCTACGGGAATCCGTAGCATTCGCTAGTCAGGGCATGACACAGGGGAGTCCTAGGCTTGAGTAGCCTCATTATTCGAGTTTGTAGGATCCTGGTGATCGGACCAGGGTCGAGACGGGGGTCTCCATATTTTTCGGGGATCATTATATTCTGAGTGGAATTGTGGTTATCGCGGTCGAAGGGAATTGGGGAAGTGATGTACGCGTGGGTTGAGGGTCATGGGTCGCGAGTTGAGTGTTTCGTTGGGATGAGTGGTTCCAATTCTGTGCCGGACCAGACTCTCGAGTTGAGTTCGATTCCAGTGGTCTATTGAGTAGGCAGAATGAGATTCCAGATTCAGAGATGAATTTCATTTTTGAAAGGGGTATTGTTTTCATTGGGTGTCTTAGACCTGAGTGGGTCAATTCGTCAGTATGGGAAAACCACGAGACGCATGGAACTAAGGAGTAGTAGACGACAGTGGTAGAGGGTGAGACGACTTTCGTATTCGCTTGAGGTAAAGCGAAATTCGTGACTTGTGTGTCACACTAGGCTGAGATAGTTGTTGTGAGAAGAAATTCAGTGAGACGTTTTGGGACATGCAATGGGTAACCTTTGGAGGTTCAATTGCTGGGTCGGGAGATGACCTAGTGCTCAGTGTCGAAAGGGGGATATCTGAGGAGGGAGCTGGGATTTATGTTTGTTAGATGTCGGAGGATACTGCTGAGTAAGCATGATCATTTTCTTGTGTCTGAGGACAAGGTGTTAAGAGTTCATTGTTCTGGTGGGTTCTGATAGCAGTTCAGTGGATGAGTCCCTGGTAGGGTGCGAACCCCCCCCCCCCCTTTCGTTCCTTAGAGTGTGATTTCGGATCGTTTAGTATGTCTGGTATGAGTGATCGGTAGCCGATTGTTGGATTGTGTTTTGTGAGGGTCAAAAAGGCGTACCTTAGCAACAGAGGGGTCGGTTTTGTCCCGGATTTGGGAGTTCCTGTTTGGATTCAGGTGTACCTGGAGAAAGATATCGGAGTGATATGAGATCCTTTCAGTGGTGCTTTTCGGGTTATTGAATTCAATCTATGTGTGGTTGAGGAGCGATTTCGAGGGCGAAATCTAATTCAAGTGGGAGAGAATTGTAACATCCGTAATTTCAAGTATGTTAGTGAACGGTTGAATTTTTGAGGTTTATGGAGTGACTCGACGAGTTGGGAGTCCAACTCGCCTAATAGGGTCGGGTGTCGTGTGGGATTTAATGATTGGACTCGACGAGCCAGAGAGCTGACTCGCCGAGTAGGTGCTGGGCAGAGAAACCCTAATTTCCTGAGAGTCTTGGAAGCTAAAACATGGAGTAGACTAGTGCATCTCTTGAGGAGAAGAGGAGATCATCCAACAAGGAAGCTAGAGAATCAGTGGATCTCGTGTAACTTCATGCAAGGGCTTGAGTAAGAGGTAAAAGCTTGCACCTTTCTTGTTATTGTGCTTAGATCTTGTTGCTATGGAAGATTAGGGTTTCTTCCACCATTGTTGAGACTTTGAATGCATAAGGTCCCTTTTGAGGTCTAGATTTCAGATCTGGACCTTGTGAGGTCTAGAGGGTCCAAAGATTATAGCTTTATTTAGCCATATAAGAGTTATTATGGTTAATCATCCTTGTTAGAGTTATATCAGCAATATGAGCCCTATATGCCATGTTTAAACGTAAAGCTTGCAGCTTTACGTGACAATCAACCCTTAGGATGGTAGATCTAGTGTTTGGGGTGATGGATCTGCCTTAAATCGTTTGAATGAGGAATCTGATCGAAGGGACTCGCCGAGTCCATGGCCTGACTCGACGAGTCGGGTAGGGTTTATCCCGATGAGTTTGATCATGCGATAACTCGTCGAGTTGGGGGTCAACTCGACGAGCTGAGTTGGACTTTCTGGAGAATTCTAAGGAAAAGAGGGGACTCGACGAGTTGCATGAGTGCACTCGACGAGTCAGGTCAAACATGGACTATTGACTGTAGTTTGACTTCTGTTGACTTTGGGGTTCTGGTCAACATGAGTGATAGAGGCCATGGAGGGGTAAAATGGTCTTTTATCCACTTCAAAGGGTTAGAGAGAGAAAGAAGAGCCTTTGGTTATTTGAGTCGTGGAAAGAGTATTAATTAGGGATATTTACCCTGTGTGTTGGGCAGGGGCTAGTTCGAGATTCGAGTACAGGGACAATTGCTTGCGTGCTTCGAGGTGAGTCTTCTCACTATACCTTACCTAAAGTGGTAATTATGTGTGACCGGAAGGTCTTATGTGGTTATAAGGGTTATGAGATGTATGTTATCTATGTGATATATATATGCTATGTCCTGAGCTTGTAGAGTTTGGACCGGAAGGTCAACAGAGCTTGATGTATGTTATCTATGTGATACGTATATGCTAGTCCTGAGCTTGCCGAGTTTGGACCGGAAGGTCAACAGAGTTTGGACCGGAAGGTTAACAGAGTAGGACCGGAAGGTCTACAAAGTTAGGGCCGGAAGGTCATCATGGTAGGACCGGAAGGTCTACCAGAGTTGTGGGACCGGAAGGTCCACTGAGACACATTGACCGGAAGGTCTTACAGAGCTATAGCTTCAAGTGGCTAATATGGTGTATGTGGTATTTGGGGAACTCACTAAGCTTCGTGCTTACCATGTTATGTGTTATGTGTTTCAGGTTTCTCAGGATCGCGGGAAGGCACCGGCTTGATTGTATACACCAGTGAAAAAGTTATCTTTTGAGGATCCTGGATTTGAATCAAACAATTATGGAGTTGTGAATTGTAAAGTAAATAAATTAGATTTTCGTGAAATGTGCTATGAGAACTATGCGATTTTAAATGAAAAATTTGTTCGAAAATCTACGGTGTTACATCACTAAGCTTGGTGATTACGGTATATGTTTAAATATTTTTCAAGTACTTTCGATTCAAAAGGGAAGTGCCCGACATGATCGTATCGCATCCACCTGTGTTTGGCATTTGATGATTTTGGGATTGTACTCTGATAACTATTTTTTCTACTGTGAGATACTTGATGGTTTTTGAAATATATGGTTGAATTTAAACAAAAACTTTTACTTCACGGCATGCTAGGGTTTCTATAGATTTCCTTCTTAATTTGTACCAGTAGGAACTCATACCCGCCATCCCCATCGTTGCTTTGTCGGCATCAGTACATTTCACATAATTCTCTGATAAAAGATTTGCAGTGCTTTGTTCCTCGGGAGTCAGATCAAGAGAAGGTTCTGCAACTCCACCAACAGTAATGTTAAACGTCATAGGCCCAGAAAAAGTAGTAGAAGAAACAAAAAAGAATTCATCCTTCCAGTATTTTATGGAAGTAGGAAGGTCATCACAGATCTCTACTAAGCCATGGCGAAGAGAAGATGACACCCAATCGCCATTCGACATAGGGACATAAAAATGACGGAAAAAAGTGATAGAAGGCACAACAAAAGAATACTCGATATACCCAACAAAACCTTCTGGAGCATCAATGATGGCGTTCCCTGGTTCTGGAATACAAGTATGAAACTCAGGGTCGATATGATATTTCTCCATAATATCAACAAGAGTTTTTTGAGAAATCCTAGACTTTATGGTGCGAATGTTCAACACTTCTTCATTATCCATGATGAATCAAGACGAAAAAAGAGAGAATAAAAAGAAATCGGAAGGGGGAAGTTGCATAAGGTGATAAAAATAGCTAAGCAAGGGAAGTTATTTATAAGGAGATTAAATGAAAACCGCTCATACGAACAAGCAAAGTGGCCGTTAAATGTAGGCAATAATGAAACTCTATAGGTAGTCGAATTGTCACGTCAACGTTCAATCCAGATGTCCGTTCTTATCTGGCCCCAACGGTTACCTTAAAAAGTTTAAATTGTTACTCTAGATGAAAAGTAACAATCCAAACTAGGGGGACTTAATAGGATATAACCTAGCTCGAAGCTATCTATATCCTTCTTATCTCGAATCATGTATATATCAGACCAATTATATATCAGACCAGCTATATACTGAACCAAGTATATACGGGACCAGGTATATACCGAACCATATGGAATAACGAACAAAGTACGAGACTATGTCACAACAGTGTAACATTACATAGGAACTCATAGAAAAGAGTCTATACAAGGATGTTTGACTAATGGGTCCTTAAACCAATGAAGCACAACTATTAAACGGCTAACAAGTACATACGAGTGTACCTTCGGGGGTACGACCATTAATGCGACATGATGGCAGACCTGATCGATATAGGAAGAGGTTATGGCCTCTCAACATTGACTATAAATAAGGAACGAATAACATTCTACAAGGTACACACATTGATCTGATCATTCTCAACCGATTATATCCCAAATTCTTTTGTTCCCTTACTATTCAATAGATCGCCATTATTGTAAATAAACCATTTTCTGATTTTACCATCAGAGCATTGGCCCAGGATCCCCTCCCTGTCAATCAACTTACGAGTTTGTTTGTTGTCTCTAGGTTATCCATATCAACAAGGAAGCATAAATTCTTATAATCTATGGAAGGCGAACCCAGAGGCGCATCAGCAGGGTAACTAGGGAAGGCTAGTTGTTAAGGGTATGGAAATGATAGTATTTGCTATGTGCTTATGTTAAATGTATATGTGATACTGATAGCTTGGGTTCTATGTAGTTTAACTTGGATAGCCTGAGAACTCTTCGTCTAATATGTGATTGTGATGTTCTTGTCTGATTGTTCAGTCTCTGGTGGGTCATCTATTCGACTGTTTATATGATCCCTGACTACATATGATTTTATGAACTAGTAGTAAAGATTGTGGTTGGATCACAACACTGGTAGGAAAGACTATAGTTGGATCACAACACTGATAATGATGATTGTGGTTGGATCACAATGTTTATAGGGAAGTCTATGGTTTGATCACAGCGCTGATAGGAAAGACTGTGGTTGGATCACATCAATCGTATGTAAGACCAAGGTTCGGTCTCTGGCTATGGAGTCAAGTTTGGGCCCGTATACTCCCCAGGGCTAGGCCCGTTACTCATGATATATGTATATGGATAGGAGATTCGATTGCTCGACGCTAGAGTCGAGATCTTGTGTGGATGCATTGTATATATGATGGAATATGTTGTATACTAGGAACTCACTAAGCTTTAAGCTTACAGTTGTGGATTAAACATTTTGCAGGTCGTTCGTGAGAAGAGCTCGGCGGGACTATACACACGCATCAAGGATGTTCGTTTCCGCAGCTTTTTTAAACTTAACTCTGATATAGTATGGTCTTAACCCAATGAATATTACTTGATGGTTTTTGAAACAAAGGTTTTAATTGGTTATCATATTTTAAAATTGAAAAATCTCTTTGTAATTTTTGGGACGTTAAAGTATGTTTAATATTTCTATAATTGAATGTATAATAATTATTTAAAAGTGTGTTATTAATATAATCTTATTTATTTAATATATCTTTTTCATAAAATTCATAATTAATTCTGATTCAATATATACAAATAATTTATTTTGTTATATTTTTATGATAACATAATTTATAATATTATTGTAATGAAATATATATATATATATATATATATATATATATATATATATATATATATATATATAGGGCTAGGTTATAATGTGGATGGACAATTATTGTGCGGACGTATGGACAATGTTATTCTATGAGAATTACTAAAAGAATAAGTTGTTTAATAATGTGAATACGTTCAACCTCACACAATTATTGTCATTTTCATGCATTCTCACTAATTCTTATTCATTTTTGTTCTCACACGTCGTTTTTCACTCATTTTCATTCTTACAGAATACGACTCAATAAATATCCTGACAACACTCTGACAGAATGAGAATAATAAAAAAAAGTCTATAATAACTTTATAGACGATTTAATTGGTGAGAATGCGTGATAATGACAATAATTATATAATTTGAACGTATTCACATTATCAAACAACATATTTTCTTTGTCATTCTCACATAATAGCACTGTCCACACGTCCGCACAATAAATGTCAATCCATTTGAACCTAGCTATATATATATATATATATATATATATATATATATATATATATATATATATATATATATATATATATATATATATATATGTTAAAATCTAACTAATAAAAAAGGATTTGTTAGACAATCTAACTTACATAATGAAATATAGGGATAATGACATAAAAGCCCTTAAATTTGGCAAAAATGTATAGATTTACCCTTTTACGGATTTTAGGCTCATTAAAACCGGATGTTAACAACTTTTTTCGATTTTACAACTTTTTTATATTTAGCGGTAAAATCGAATATTTCTGGCAAAGTTAAGGGCTTTAATGAATCAGAAAACCAAACTGAAAGGTTTTATGAACAAGAAAAATGGGTAAAAACGAACATTTTTTGCCAAACGTAAGAGCTTTAATGAACTACAAACACACAAAAGGGTACAATTGAAAAAAAATTGCTTACATGTTGTTTTAGTGAACCTACATTACGTAAATGATAAATCCATACATTTCCGTCAAACTTAAAGGCTTTTGTATCATTACCCCATGAAAACCAAACTTAAGGGTTTTTATGAACAAGAAAAACGGGTAAAACCAAACACTTCTGGCAAACGTAAGAACTTTAATGAACTAAAAATACACAAAAAAGCATAATTGAAAAAAAAAATTGCATAACGAACCTATAATACGCAAAAAGATAAATCCATACATTTTGTAAGACTTAAAGACTTCTCAAGTTCTCATTACCCCATGAAATATAACAGGAATATATTGGGAAAATGACTAAGGAGGGTAACTAACTATTGAGTTTGTTCATATATGGTCTATTTTTATTATCGAGTATACCATCGAACTTGTTGTTTGTGTTCACCATAACCTTTTTGATCGGCTTTTAATAAGTGATAGTCTGGTTAAAAGGGTTATGATGAACACAAACAACAAGTTCGATGGTATATTGGGTAAAAAAAAAAAGCAAATGTAAACAAACTCAACTCAATCAATAGTTACTTACCCTCCAAAGTCATTTCTAAATATATTTATTGTTATAAAAAGTAAGTAAAAAATTATGTACAAAATGAAATATGGAGATAAATCACTATTTACTTCAATTTTTATTGAGGTAGAAAATGGGCGGGTTGGAGATGGTAAAAAAGCTGATGAAGATGAACATTCGAATTGAATGAGAAAGCATGTAAGAGATTTATATGTAGCTATTTTTCGATTCGATGCGCCATCATGCAATAATACCACTATGAATCCCCAATTTTCTAAAATTTACAGATTCTCTAACTTCACATCTCAAATTATCAACCGCAGAAGCCGAAAGCATGAACTTGCTAAGCTTTTACAGTCACCTTCCACCACCGATAACCCAAATTCCTACTTTAAAACGGTTCATGGACAGATCATAGTATCCGGGTCTCAATCTGATACACTTCTTGCAAACATATTGATCAAAAGTTATTCAAAGTGCGATAACTTAACCTATGCACGGACATTGTTCGATGAAATGCCTGAGAGAGACATAAGCAGTTGGTCTTCGATGATTTCTTCTTACACACAACATGGATACAGTGAAGAAGCTTGGACGATATTTCTCATGTTCCAAAGATCCTCTAATAAAATCCCAAATGAGTACGTATTAGCTAGTGTTATTAGTGCTACAACTCAGTTAGGAAATGTGGTTAAGGGTTCTCAGTTGCATAGTTTGGTTGTTAAAACAGGTCTTGATCAAGATATTTATGTGGGTACTTCACTTGTTGATTTCTATTCCAAAATCAACAAAATAGAAGATGCAAGATTGATATTTGATTATTTACCAATTAAGAACGCAAGAACATGGACTACAATAATAGCTGGTTATTCAAGAGTAGGAAAGAGTGAAGTTTCTTTACAATTACTAACCCAAATGAAGGAAAATAATGTTGTTCCAGATAGATATGTTCTCTCTAGTGCTTTAACTGCATGTTCCATTATTGGGTTTTTCAAAGGAGGGAAACAAATTCATGGTTTTGTGTTAAGAAGAGAAGCATCCATGGATATATCAGTGAGCAATGCTCTTGTTGATTTTTATGTGAAATGTGGTGAAGTGAAAACAGGAAGAAAGATTTTTGATCACATGGAGTTCAAGAATGTTATATCATGGACTACTATGATATCTGGCTACATGCAGAACTTATTCGATAAAGAAGCTATGAATTTGTTCATTGAAATGAGTAAAAATGGTTGGAAACCAGATGGATTCGCATGTACTAGTGTTCTAACTTCATGTGCTTCACTTGAAGCTCTAGATCCAGGTAGACAAATACATTGTTATACGATCAAAACCAATCTTGAAAAAGATGAATTCGTGAACAATAGTTTAATCGACATGTATTCCAAATGCAATTGTCTAATTGATGCGAGAAGAGTCTTTAATGGGATCCAAAACCACAAAGTGATTGGTTACAATGCGATGATTGAAGGGTATTGTAGACATGAAAATCTTCATGAAGCGTTGGATCTTTTCCATGAAATGAGGGTGAAATCCATTGACCCGAGTTTGTTGACTTTTGTAAGTCTTCTTGGCGTTTCAGCTTCTTTGACCACTTTAGAACTTAGTAAACAAATTCACTCCTTCATCATCAAATTCGGTATCTCATTAGATGTATTTGCTGGTAGTGCTCTGATAGATGTTTACTCAAAATGTTCGTTCACATCTGATGCACGCAAACTGTTTGATGAAATGCCTGAAAGAGATATTGTAATATGGAACGCTATGATTTCAGGGTATACCCATGTATCAGAAAGTGAAAACGCAATAAAACTTTATCAAGAACTACAACTTACATATCAAAAACCAAATGAATTCACATATGTAGCACTAATTACAGCATCTAGTAACCTTGTTAGCCTTTCCCATGGACACCAATTTCACACCCAGATCTTGAAAACGGGTTTAAACCTCGACCCATTTGTCACAAACGCATTGTTGGACATGTATGCCAAATGTGGAAGCAAAAAAGAGGCTCAAAATCTTTTCAACTCCACGTTTTTCAAAGACATTGTTTGTTGGAATTCAATGATATCAACATACGCACAACATGGGGACGCGAAAGAATCTTTAAAATTATTTAAAAAAATGATAAATGAAAAAATCCAACCGAATTATGTCACGTTTATAGCTGTTCTCTCGGCTTGTGATCATATGGGCCTTGTAAAAGAAGGGTTCGATCACTTCTCAACAATGGGTAAATTCGGTATTTCACCCGGGGTGGAGCATTACGCGTGTATGGTGTCGCTATTGGGGAGAGCCGGGAGGGTGTATGAAGCGAAAGAGTTTATTGAGAAATTACCGATACGCCCTCCGGCGGTGATTTGGAGGAGTTTGTTAAGCGCGTGTGGAGTTGTTGGAAATGTCGAATTAGGTAAATATGCGGGTGAAATGGCGATTTTGAATGATCCGAAAGAGAGTGGATCGTATGTTTTGCTTTCTAATATTCTTGCAAGTAAGGGTATGTGGAGTGAGGTGAAGAAGGTGAGAGAGAAAATGGAAGGAAATGGGGTGGTGAAAGAAGCTGGATGTAGTTGGATTGAAATGAATAATGAAGTTCATGTTTTTATCGCGAGAGATAAATCGCATCGTGAGGCGGATTTGATTTATTCGGTGATTAATAATTTGATTGATCATGTTAGAACGCATCAAACCCTTGTATGATTTTTATAATTGATTGAAATAATTGCTAGTGACATGAATTTTGTTTTCTAACCTTGTGTCGGTCGTGGGTCGTATCGGTGGGGACACCTGGAGGTGGTTTTTTACCCTTTTGCCCTTATAGTGTAGCCATTTGGTTTTGGGTTGCCGTTTTTGAGAAACAAATGAAATTATCAAAATTAAGGTGTTGATCATAATACATTTTTATAAAAAAAAAATGTTGTTTGAAAGTAAATAAACATGGTAAGAACTTACTTCCATTTCATTTTTTAACACAACCAGAGAAATGATTCTATTTATCCAGTGCATTTTTTGTTCTATCAAGCATTGAAATCGATTCTATTTCACTATTCCAAACACCCCCTAATAGTCTACTCCCAACCCATCTATATCCAAACCCAACTTCAAGACTTGGAGTGAAACCAAATGTAACCAACTTTGAAGCCTCTTCTATCCACTTGTTGGATCCAAACCCAAATCCAAGACTTGGAGTGAAATCAAATATAACCAACTTTGAAGACTTTTTTGTCCACTTGAATGCTACTCTCAAAATAAAGACATTGCATTTTGATTTTCACAACAATCAAATCCCTATCCACTTTGTCACATATTCGGCCGGCCAAACATTCCAGCCTAATTAGAAAATGTATGTTGCTTATATATGTGGTAAATCTTAACAATAAATTTTAGCCCCTCGTCTCTAGTCTTCATTCCATCAACAATAATCAAACCCCTCAAAACTTTCCTTAATTCACGACCCATCATCAAAAACACATCGTCCTATAACTTCGGCCCATTAGCATAGTACATAAACGCAACCCAACTTCAAAAGCTTTATTCCTATTGTGACTAGAGATGCACAAAGACCCGATCTGATCCGATCCGATCCGGTTTGATGACGTCACAGCCGATCCGAAGCAGCCCATAATCCGAACCGGTTTCAAACCGGATTTGATCGGTTTTCCGAGCCCCGAATCCGAATCGGTTTAATCCGATCCGGTTACAATCCGATCCGAAATCCGATCCGATTTTGGCTTCTTTTTTTTTTTTTTTAAAAAACATTTTTTGGACCTCATATATAACACAAAATGCAACATAGGTTCATTAAAATAGTTAAAACATACATCAAACGTCGAATTAGAAAGAGTTTTTAAACTAGTTAACTAATAATAATAATAATAAAGTGGCGTTATAACATTTAGCCAAATAGAAATAGTTTTTGTGGTCTTCCACTTCATGTCGCCTTCACTAAAATATTCTTCAACCGCCACGCAAATAACTAGGGGTCTCATCAATACCATATTCTTCATCTTCGTCTTCATCTTCATCGTCATCGTCATCGTCTTCGTCTTCCGGAGGTGTTGATAAGCCTTGTGCATATTCTTCATCCATGATCTCCGTTTCAACATTTTGTGGTAGTGGGCCTTCTAGTGATGCCAAGTGTTGTATACGTTCCACCGAATCCAAGTAATCCTTCAAGCAAACGCAAACCTCTACCGCAACCGGGGTAAGATTCGTCCTCAACTTTGATAAAACTCTACCACTAAAAGAAAAAGCGGATTCCGAAGCTACCGTGGAAGCTTGGACGGTTAGTAAATCGCGGGCCATGACGGAGAGAATAGGAAATTGTGCTTCCTTTTCTCTCCACCAAGCCAAAAGATCCAAAATTTTAAATTGTGGTGCACTCATGAATTTTAAAAAGTTTGACCCCATATAAATTCCAAGTTCGCTACTAGGGGTTAATGTGCGTGCTCTTTTGTTTTGTTCCTCCAAAAGGTAGTTATAGAGGTCGATATCAAAATCCGTTCGACCCCCACCAGTACCCGATGCACCACTAGTAGAGTCGGTTACACTTGCAAAAGTGTTTGACATATCGCCATACTTTGTAGCGTAAATGTCAAACAAATTAGTAAAAGTATTATTAAAAGTGTGTATTTTGTTACGGATGTAGTTTGAGTCATCTTTGTGCAAATTTAAAGACATAGAAATTTTGGTAATCAAAGCCTCTACACCCGTAACATTGATACATGGGTTTAATGTCGCGGCACAAGTAAAAAGTGGTGGCATTTCTTTGAAATATTTGACTAGTTTTTGTCTCATTGGTCTCGTAACCAAAACAAATATTTCACTTCTTTGTTCAAAACGCTCCAATTGTACGGACATCAACCATAATTCATTTAGTAACAACGGCTTGTAGGGTAATACACGCCCGATAAAAAGTGGTTGATTGTTTAAAAACTTTTAACATTTCCACAACTCTTTCATCAAATCCCAATCATAATCCGAAACCGGGTTTTTTCCTTTTGAAATTGTGTCATAAAATAATTGTAAAGCGATTCTTTGACGTGTCAAACTTTCAAACATCATACATGTTGAACTCCATCTAGTGTCAACATCCCAATGAGGACTATATGGAGTTACGTTTATGGAAATGGCAAACTTTCGATATTTTTCCATTGTAGCTTTATTTTTTCCAAAAACTCTAGTTAACACAGTTTTGAATTTTTCAATCGTCGAATCTAAACGAGCCATCCAAAATAGGTTTATATTTTGCAATTAATCTTTTTGCCGCGGCGGTATTATTACTTGCATTGTCAAACGAAATAGAAAAGATTTTGCCGCGTAAATTATAAGTCTCTATAACGCTTACTAAAATTGCAAATAATCGTGCCCCCGTGTGAGGATGCGCAAAAAGTTCAAAAGCAATAACTCGTTTGTTCATTACCCAAGTAGTGGGATCTATCCAATGTGCCGTGACGACAAGATAGCTTTTGGGACAACTACCGGTGGAGGACCAAACATCACACGTTAAAGAAACACCGGTTTTTATATTTAAAAATCCCAATTGCATATCTTTTTTGGCTATATCCCAATACTTTAAAGCATCACGTCTAAGAGAAGTGCGACTTACTTGCCGGTATTGTGGTTGCATTTTTTCCCGCAAAATCCTTGTTAATCGTGGGTTGTCGAAGTGGTTGAAAGGCACGCCCTCTTGAATGACGAACTTACAAAAGCTTTCACGAATGTCATCATTGTTGTAAATAAAGATCGAACCGTCGGGAGTAATATTTGGTTTATCCGGATCGCCTTGACCTTTTACAACCGGACACGTTTTTGTTGTATGACTCCTCAACGTACTATTGTCATCTTTTCCCAAAAACATCCCGCATTGCTTGCACCTTGCTTTTTCTTTCCCGTTCGACAACAAACACAAATCGTAATGTTCCCACACATCTTTACTCCGAGTGGTTGGTAAGATTTTAACCACCGTTGCATCCGACTCTTGGCCGCGGTAGAATTTCGGGAGCTCATTTCTTGGAAGATTATGAAAATAGAAGTATAAAGTAGAAGTATAAAGTAGTAGAAATGTGTGTAAAATGTAAATGGAGCAAATGGGTTGTATTTATATGTGTTTGGAAGGGCAAAAAAGTCAAGAAAAGTCAAACTAGCCGTTTTTTCCCTTTCCAACGGCTATAAAAAAAAATTCAAAATTCCCGTTGCTCAACGGTCAAAAAAAAAAAAACCGGTTTGAACCGAATCCGGTTCTCAATCCGGGGTTAAATCCGATTTCTTGTCCGAAGCTTCAATCCGGTTTCGATCCGGTGGCCGGTTTAATTCGATCCGGTTCGGTCAAAACCGGTTTTGACCAAATCCGGTTTTCGGATCGGATCGGATCCGAGAGCCCAATCCGGTTTTTGTGCCCATCTCTAATTGTGACCTTATAATTCCATCTGACATAAAACCAAAATCTTTCATTACTAAGCTAGTCTTAATTTTGCCACAAAAGTCCAAACCAACAATAAACCCATTATTTCGTCCAAAAACAATTAGATACAAAATAAACCACATATCATTTAGGGCGTGTTTGGCACGGAACTTTTGTAAGCGTTTGAGAGTTTCTAGCTTTTAGCTTTTGACAAAACGCTCTAGTTTAAACAAAAAGCTTCGTTTGGCAGTACGAACGTTTAGCTTTTAGTTTAAACTAAACATTCAAATCTAAAAACTACTTCATATAGCATTTAACAAAACGCCACTGAGCTTTTGAAATCAATTTCCATAATTACCCTTAAAAATATATTTATATATCTATTTAGTTTTAATCAATTATCTTTTTATGTAATTTTATATATTTCAAAAGCTACCAGCTACTTTTGTCAAACACTCATGTAACAAATAAAAGCTACCGCTTCCCGCTACCAGTTATCCGCTTCCAGCTAACAGCTACTTTTGTCAAACACGCCCTTATTCTCATTTGTAACCCTTCAACCCTCTAAAATCCTTCAAATTAGATACAAAATCCATCTCTCGGTGGGTTATTAGAGTTTCTTTATCTTCTTCTTCTTTCTTTCTTTCTTTCTTTTTTTTATTTTTTTTTTATTTTTTTTTATTATTATGTATGTTGATGGGTAATTAGCATTTTCACTTTGAATTTAGTATATTTGTTGCTCATTTATTTATTTTCGGTTTCTAAGTGTTGTTTTCCTTTTCTAGTTCATCATCAAAATAATTTTGGGGAAATAAATTATAATCAAACTTGTTAATTCTTTTGGTGTATCAAAAGTGATAATATGCTTTGTAAATTTGAATTTCAATGTATTTTGTAATGTGCGTGGGGTTTTTATTAGAAATGTAGAATGATCTTTTGTTTTTTGAAGTTGTTTTTATTAGTATTAAAAAATAGTAAAAAAAAATTCTCATTCATTTAACATATAACATCATTGCTTATCATATGAATCATTCATGAATCATCATGCAGTTTCATTCAACCATTAACCATTTAATTGTTTATTCCTTTGTTAATTAAATGACATAAAACATTATTGTTGTTTTTTTCTCATACACAACATATACTTTTTTTTTTTTTTTTAAGGATATATTCCATCCAATGGAGGATGGTAGAGTGGGTCTATGAAACTTACCGTGGACTGCATTGCAGAGGATTATTCTAACATTCTTCCCAATACCCTGAAAGTCGGAGTGGAACGTTAACCAAAACCCTCAAAATCTCAGTCTTCTCTCTTCGATTCAAGATGTCGACATTCTTCAGGAGATTAAGCAAAGCAACGCCGATCGCATTTTCACATGCTTTCCGAGGGCAATCGCAATCAAATTCAACGCATTTTCGATTTCCAGTTGGAGCAATCGCTGCTATCTCTGGTGGAATCTCGTATTTCTACTACTTTTCTGAGCCAAATTTGGTAATTTTCTCCATCTTTTTGTACTTCAAGTTTAAATACAACACAAAACGTTTTTATATCTGTCTATGTCGTTGTGTGGAGAATGTGATATGTACATTCGGCAAGTTGAATCGTTAGTATCTGAAAATTTGGTTTTCAGCATTTTATGTGATTTGAGACGTTAAGATTTTTTGTTTATTAGGTTTTTGTTCCTACTAGTTCGTGACTACTGATTATTTGATTGTTTGCTTAGATCTTCAATTTGGTAGTTTTCTTCATCTGTCTTGTACTTCTGATTTAAATACAATAGGAAACTGAATGATAAGTATGTATATTGTTGTGTGGATAATATGATTTGTGCATTTGAAAAGCTGAATCATTAGAAATCTGAAATTGTGATTTTCAGCATTTTGTTTGATTTGAGATATCAGGATTCTGTTAATCAGGGTTGTGTGTTTGCTTGGGTCATCCAATATAAAGATCACTGATCAATTATATGTGTTTTTTTTCCCATTAACAGGCCCATTTAGATCAAATCAATGAGGAAACAGGTCCTAAAACTGGTAAGTTTCTTGTTTCAACTTTTCTCACCTTGTCATGATATTTCCTTTCTGAAACAATTCATGATATTCAAATCACGAAATTAATCAAGAAATGTTTGCTTTTGGTCAACACAGATAAGTTTCTTTCCAATACACCTTTGAATTTAATAATGATGGTTTTGTGTATTTCAGCTCTTAATCCTGACAAATGGATAGAGTTTAAACTGCAAGAGAAAGCTAAAGTCAGCCACAATACACAGCTATACAGGTTATCTTCAATTCTTCATAATCCCAATTCTTTATTTTCTTTTATCAATATATTCTTGAAAGTAGATTTGTGGAGTAAGCTTTTTATCCACATTAACTTCAGGTTTTCTTTTGATCCAAATCTCCATTTGGGACTCGATGTTGCATCATGCCTTATTACAAGGCAAGTTTATGACTACTCTTATGGAATCAAATTTTTAATCTTAGCTATATGCCACCTCATTCATATATTCTTTTTTTTTTATTTATTTAATAGGGCTCCATTAGGAGAAGATGCTGAAGGAAAAACAAAATATGTTGTTCGTCCGTAAGTTAATATGTTGTATTTAGAGATAGTTTTTTACTTTTTATGCATGCTTAGTTATCAATTTTCATGGATGCTTATTTCCAGATACACCCCCATATCAGATCCAGATTCTAAAGGTTACTTTGATTTGATGATTAAGGTATGAAAAACTAAATTTTTGATTCTTGAAAAACTAAAATATTTTGATACTTATTAATTATGTTACAATTTGTTTTTCAGATTTATCCTGAAGGGAAAATGAGCCAGTATTTTTCAAAACTAAATCCGGGTGATGTGGTTGAAGTAAAAGGGTAAACAACCATTAGTTGGTTAAATTACTATTATACCCTCGGTGAATTTGTATGTACTTAACTACTTATGACTAAGAAAATGAATCTCTTTCAGACCCATTGAGAAGATCAGATACACTCCCAATATGAAGAAACACATTGGCATGGTGAGTTAAGGAAAGCTAAAGAAACAATATTCTTTTTTTATTTATTTATTTTTCTCTAATTTGGTAATTCATATTTTTTACAGATTGCAGGTGGCTCAGGAATCACTCCAATGCTTCAGGTTATTGAAGCCATTCTTAAGAATCCTGATGATAACACCAAAGTAAGATTTTTCTTTTTTCTTTTTTCTTTTTTTTAAATAAATGTATTAAAAAAAACAATTTTCAGGTTTCGTTGATTTATGCGAATGTATCACCAGATGACATTCTACTAAAAAAGAAACTTGACATGCTTGCTTCCAGCCACCCTAATTTGAAGGTAAATTAATATAACACAAAAAACAATAATTTATGATTTATTATTATTTTGAAATATAAAATAAAATGTTTTTGAAATTGTAGGTATTTTATACTGTTGATAATCCATCAAAGTATTGGGTTGGACGCACAGGTTACATATCAAAAGACATGGCCTCAAAAGGCTTACCTTCTCCAAGTGACGACACACTTATACTTGTAAGAATTAAGAAACATCTTTTTCTTTTTAACTGATTCCAATTCCAATTCCGATTCCTTTGACTGATTCCATTCCGTTGTATTTAGGTGTGTGGGCCACCTGGAATGATGGAACATGTATCTGGTGGCAAAGCCAAAGATTGGTCACAAGGTGAGGTGAGTGGAGTACTCAAAGAACTTGGATACACAGAAGGAATGGTTTACAAGTTTTAAAAAACATTGGTGAGTTAAATTGTTTTATTATTATTATTATTATTATTAAGAATAAATTAGTTGTTTTTTGTGTGGAAATGATTCCCTTTATGTTAGATTGGGAATCATTGGATAATAGCAAAACAAAGTTGCAACAACAATGAATTGGACTAAATAACTTGTTGTTATTTATATACATTACTTAGAAATATACTTTTAACAGTTTTTGTTTAAAATAATATATTCTTATAATCAAAGATAATCATATTTTGATAAATGTAAAATGACATAAAAGAGATGTTAAAGAATAGTTAGTATTATAAGACAAATATGCAATACATTTCATTAAGGCTGTGTTTGGCGCGCCACAGCTAGCTTATTTTTCGAGCTTTTTTATGTTGTCGTGTTTGGTAAGCCAAAAAGTAGCTTATAAGCTAGCTTTTTGAAAAGCTACTTAGACTAGCTTTTTAGGAGCTTTTTTAAAATTTTCCAAATACACCCCTTAATTAATTATAGAAACACATACTATTATATGTCCTTTTATGTAATTTTATATATTTCAGCTAGTTTTACCAAACGTTATTTTTTATCAGCTAGCTTTTCAACTGTCAGCTAGCTTTTCAGCTAACAGTTAGTACGCCAAACATAGCCTAAGTTAAAGTAACTATCAAAATGTAGTTCTCCAATTATTTATGTTTAAGTGAAATTTTTTGCATTCCATATCATGTTATGGAATATTATCACAAACTTTTTGAATTTCATGGTGACTTATTATGACTAAATCTAGATATGATTGTTGTCTAGTTTCTTTGTATATATGTAATCATTGTGTTGTTGGGCAATATTCAAAATCATATTATCGAGTCTTTCCTATGAATATCAAAATATAATTATGAAAGATAAATATAGTCATAATCATCTTAAATCTTAAGTTTTCTCACTAAAGTTTGATATTTTCGACCTATTCTTAAACACTTCAAACGAAGGTTATATGTGACATCAAACATATCTAATAAATTATTTAATTGTTAGTAAAAGTATGTATAATATCTACAGCATTTTTTTTAAATCTTAGTATTTGTAAGGGATTATTGATACATTTGGAAGAAAGTTATTATTTATGGGTGCTTTTCGTTGATTTGGTTCTCATATCATTTATTTATCTTACAATGTTTCAATTAGGGATTATTTGAGATAAACTAATACAACATATGCTAAATTTAACTACAAGCTTCCTTTTAAAAAGTATAGAAATATGAAATATATAGAGTATATAATTGTGCATGTGTAGATTTATCAAGTGTTATATTTAAAAGAATTTTAAAAAGTTTTATGAATCTGTTTAAACCCAGTTTGAGTAACTTTTTATAAAACAACTTATAAGCTGTTTTTTGATTTCTCAAACAACACGAACTAAAAAAACTAAAAAAACTAAAAAAAATAAGCTACATAATTGAATGTAAATCACTTTTGGGTAATTATTTTAAATTACATTGCATCAGAGACTTCTCATATCCTTTCCCAAGTTCAAGATTTCTCCATCTCGTTGACCCTAGATCTAGACGAACTTAATTATGACCCACGAGATTTGGTGTTCTCTGTCACCTTGATGGCTCCTCAAAACCTAAACCTGTTAGTGATCCTAAGTGGCATAAACTCGACTCATCAGTCAAAGTTATGGATTTATTGTACCATTTTGAAACAACTCCTTCATATGATCTCAAACATATGTAAGTCTACAACTTATGTTTGGGATAACCTCAGTAATATGTTTAGTGATGATCTCATGATTACCAGATATTGTGTATCAAAACTACACATGATTGATTTGCCAACTTTGATGTTGCGGTAAGTGAAATGGTTGTAGTGACGTATATGACAAATGGTCTTCTAAAGTTTTTGACAACATTATCGTCATTAATATGTCACAAAGATTTGCTTCTCTTGTTTCTCTAAGCATTATCAATGTCGCTTCTCAAAAAGTAATATCTCTCTTGGTCTCGTCATATTTCAGATACCTATTGAGTTCATGCTTTTTCAAGTCAGTGCTCTCTCTCAATCTAACCCTTCATCTTAGAATTCTAACCAACAAAATAATAATTCCAAGAACCGGAAAAATCACAACAATGGTCGTAACAATCCCCCTCTAGGCGATGACAATCATGTCCTTCCATAGTGAATCCTCAGTTGTGGCCCACCTACGACTGGTGTGCAACAACACACCGTGTAGCCCAAGCTCATACCCTAATTAGTTATATGGGCCTACTTTGGCAAGACCGCCAAGGCTATCTTGGTCTGATCTAACACCAACAGTATGGGCTACTCTCTATACCAGCCAACATCGAATTTCGGTCAATGTTATCTCCCCAAAGACTTCTCGATTTTGTATTTTGAGAACCCTCAACATGATGTGATCACGTCACAACCAGTGGCCGAGCTTGAAGTTTTGATTTGGGGGGCCGAAAATAGAATATATATATATATATATATATATATATATATATATATATATATATATATATATATATATAAAATTGAAGAACAAGGGGGCCAAAGTCAAATTTTATAGTTTTAGGCATAATATGTAAATTTTTTAATACATAAGGGCTAATTATATAAAAAAAATAGAGGGGGGGGGGGGGGGGGGGGGGGGGGAGGCACAGCCCCCTGGCCCTATATAACCTCTACCACTGGTCACAACCCTTCCTTAAGCTTTTCAGTCTCCAGCCGTTCGATACCAAGTGGTACATGGACATTGGAGCAACCTGTCATCTATATCCGCATTAAGGTATTCTTAATACTATTTTTTTATCAGTTATACTACTTCACGTGTCATGGTTGGTAATGTATCATCAATCCTATTTATTTCTGTTCATGCCTCCCCGCCTAACCTATATCGACCGCTTCATCTTTACAGCACCAAGATTACTAAAAACAACATCTTTGTTTGTCAATTTACAAAAAAAAAAAAATGTACTATCTAATTTAGTTTTTCTTTGAATGATTTTTAGACTTGCAAAACGCTCCTCCGATGTGAATGCTGTTAGGATCTATATCCAACTTACCAAATCTTCGCAAGTTTCTCTCGTGTATGCTAATCAACTTGCATGCCATTAGCGTTTTGTCATCCCCACGATCATAATTTACATTTTCTAGTTTCTAGTGGTTATCTTTCTTGTAATAAACTCAAAAATACTACTATATTTGTCGTGCTCTAAATTGGGAAAGTGTGTTGGGTTTCTATGTTCTATTTATACTTGAAGTGTTAATGCATCATTTGATATTATTCAATTTAATTTTTGGATATCGCCTCTTCCTAGTGTTGGTGACATTAAATAGCATGTCTTATTTCCTTAATCACCGTTTACATTTTTATAGGTTTATCCGCTCATTAACAAATCAGAATCTTTTTTCCAAATCTTCATTTCCGCTCATATGTTCACAAACAGTTTAATTTTTATATTAAAACCTTTCAATGTGATCATGGGGTAATTCGATGTAAGCTCTTTCAAGACCTATTTGACAAAAATGGCATTCAATTTCAATTTTCATGTCCCCATACCTCCACCACCAAAATGGAAAATCACCCAATTAATGATATTTTTGCACTATCTTATTTCACACATGCCTACTCAACATCCTACCCTCCATGTCCATTCAAACTACCATACATTTTACTTGTTTCATTCATTTTAAGCATCGATACTCTCATTTGCATGTATTTAGGTGCCTATGTTATCCTCACTTAACCATACCTTGCGAATTAGCTCCTTGCTCTACTTGTGTTGTTGCCAATGTTGTTGCCCATGTTAGTTTCAAAATCTTCTTTGGGAGCTTCTTTCTTTGAATTTTAAAGCCACCATTATATATTGTGTCCACATAAGTGCTATTTATCTCTCATAGAATAAGGTCCAACATTAGCGAACAAAAACAATATTGAGATTGATATTTACGTTGTTCGTGACAAAGTTGCTACTAGCGACATCCGGATTCATGGTTCATCATTGTATAAATATATCCAAATCTTCACAAAAAGCCTTCCCTCCAGACTTTATCCCACCTTTAAAACTCAGTGGACTATATTTTGATGCATTGTATTAGCTAATACTCGTGTTGTATTTATTCTTGGGTGTAATAGAATGTAAATTACCTTTTAGGCAAGTATTCCAAACTATATTTTGAATATATGTTTGTAAAACAGAAATAATCCGACTTTCTAATAGACGATATGTTGATTTGGTCCATGTTAGGGGTGAAAATTATAAAACCGGACTGGACACCCCTAACATGGACCGGCTTTAAATCCTAGAACCGAGAACCGGCCCAGGGGTCCAGAAAAATGGTCCGGTCCGATCCGGTCTACGGGTCCAAATGCTCACCCCTAGTCCATCTGCCATTTATTTTTTCGAATTAGATCCACAAAGATTATTTCTTAAGTTTGGTCAATATTGTAATGTTGCATAATAATTTGGTTTCGAATCAATAAATATAACTTTTTAAACTTTTTATAATATAATCATTCTATTCGTATACCAAACCCATAAAAAACAAAAAACAGTATATTAGTATGGCTAGTATTTTATTGTATTTTTTTTTTATTATAAAACCGTTTTATAAATTAGAATATATTTTATTTTTGGTTGTCTTAAAAGTATGAAATTTATGTTGTTTTATTATCCAATCATATTATTTGTTTATTTGTGGATGTTATAAGAATAAAACTATACTGTTTTATAAATAATTTCTAATTTTTAAGAAAAAACTAATTTAGAAGGTTTAGACACGGGTTGTAGTTCATCATGTTTGGACGTGAGAATATCTATAACACACTTTTCTTGAGATAAACGAAGGCGCTGCGGGTGGCAGATATCTCAAGAAAATAGTTCAACGAATCCAAATCAGTCATGGAAAATTCGCGACCCAGAAGACCAGCGATTTGCTGAAGAAGGCTAGGAGATGAGCCAGTCAATATGATATCATCTACGTATAGAAGTAGAAATGTTGTATGTTGAACATAGCGATACATGAACATGGAGGGGTCAGAACGACTGTGAGTAAAGCCGATGCGAGATGCGTGCTCTACAAATATGTGATACCAGACTCTTGAAGCTTGTTTGAGACTGTATAAAGAGCACTGTAAAAGAAAAAATGGGAACCGATGAATACAAAAA